CATTTGTGACTAATCATAGTGTGATTACACAAATTCTGCTAGATAGAGACATTATAGTATGAGAAGGCAGAGAAGTGGGCTCCAATTCTGACTTTTCCACTTAGCTATGTGAGGGGGCAATTTATTTATTTATTTATTTTTAAAGATTTTATTTATTATTGAGAGACACAGAGAGAGAGGCAGAAACATAGGTAGAGGTAGGAGCAGGCTCTCTTTGGGGAACTTGATGTGGGACTCCATCCCAGGACTCTGGTGTCACACCTTGAACCGAAGCAGATGTTCAGCCACTGAGCCATCCAGGCGTCCCAAGATGGGGCAATTTATTTAAGTTTCCTCATCCGTTAATCAAGATAGCACTTCTCATCTCATGGGGTCATTGTAAGAATAAAATAAAATAAAGTAAAATGACAGCATAAGAGAACTTTTCAACGGATAATTTATTATATTATTATTATTATTATGTCATCATATCATTGATTCTTAACTTTGCTGAGTATCAGTTTCCTTGTCTATAAAGTGAGAAAAATAATGATTTTCTCCTATGGTTATTTGACAATTAAATTAAATGATCTAATTCTATATACTAAGTACTGTTTTATAGTATTATTTGGACTATTATTTGAAGACTTTCAAACCAGCATTTCCCAGAGTTTGCTCTATGTGCTATCATTTGTTTATAGAAGGAAAAATCCAGTGAATCTAAATATTAATAGTGCCATGCTTATATTACATATGTGAAATGAAAAATGACTGCCAAAAAAATACCTGTATATCAAATTTTCTGTTGTAACACACTTATTTAATTAAAAGAGGTGAGTCACTTTGGACAAACAGATATAAGAAAATAATGGTTCCAGAGGGACTCATTCTTTCATCCATTTTCTAAGTGCCAACAATGTGCCAAGCACTGTGCCATTGCTATGTCTGAGAACTTGTCTGCCTGACTGTTGTATTTACCACCTCAAACCTGCATATTGGTTTCACACAACAGCATGAGAATCCTTAGTGTGCAAGCTGAACTGATCATTTTATTGCCACAACAGCACACACCCTGCAAACAAAGCTGAAATTGCCGATAAGTAGATTCCCAACATCATATTCTAATAAAGATCAAAGTGAAAGAATATGACCAATATTCCTCACTTTTCTACAATCTGGTGCTATAGGGAAACACAGAATTATTACAATGCAAACAAGTCCAATCCAATCAGTGTATCAGAAATGCAGATCGGACTTCCACACAAGGGAGGGTTTAGAATATTATGGCACTTGGCCAGGGTAGCCTTATGATCTTTGTCACCACTGTGTTTGGCTTACTGTCTAGGGGAAAAGAAAGAGTTAAGATGAAAGAAAATGCTATCCTAATATTAGACAAGGGAGTTTCACTAAGGAAAACAATACACGGGGTAGTTACAATTGCTTTTGGCTTCAGTGAAAGGTAAGCCTTAGCATGTTTTTTTTCCTTAAAGAAATGAATTACAATTACCTATCATTACAAGAGTAAACAGGGTGGGCTTGGTTTTGCACATCATTTGTGAATAAATAGACGAGAACTAGAGCAAAGACTTGTAGCCTTTCTCTTTCCAGCTCCTTTGTCTGAAAGAGCACTGCACAGCACAGCTTGTCTTATGCACAATGACACAGAAGCAGAGGAAAGCTCTTACCAAAAATGCAGACTTCAGTTACAGTGTCATTTGATTTTGCTTCTCAAGATATCCTTTTTGAAAATGTCCTTGCAGTTCAGTCCCGCATCAGTAAAAGAGAATCCTGCACACAAAAGCCAAATCTATATCCAGGCAGCTATATGTTAGCCGTGAAAAATTGCTAAATGTGTTAAAAAAAAAATCTTGATGTAAATTAACCTAAACTTCCTCCATGGATATTATCAATTATTCATGGCATAAATTATGCAACAGAGCTGACAGTTAGTACTTGATAGAATATACAGAATGAGATATGTGTATACATACATACACAAATATACATGCATACATATATGTGTTAATGCACACAGATTCACATACAAATATTCATGAATATATATGCATAATTATGCATATGTACATACACATACATAAATCAATAAAGTGATAGAGTACAAGAGCACTGAGATATGAGTCTGGAGACCTAGATTTGAGCCATTTAATGCGAGTCACTCACTCCTGCTCTCAGCATTTTTGGACTCATTTTGGACCAGTGGCCCTTTTAATTATAAAATTATTTCATTATGTATCCCAAGCTCCTGTCCTACCAAATGTGGTACAGATGTCCTACTGAGGATGAGTCACGGTTGTTAAGTTTGGGCACTTGTAAATGTTGATTTGGAGGAGTGAAAAAAGCTGCCCCCTCAACTCACTAGTACCTGTTCAAATTTCAGACCTTCTCTCTGCCATCTCTGTGGGCTTTTTTATTATATCTTGTTGGTATGGTTTTCTTAAATGCTAAAAAAGTGATCCCAGTTCTTTTGTGTGAATTGAGCTTCTATTTTAAGGCCCACCCAGTAGAAAATGTGCAGCTCATTTGATTTAAGTGGAAACAGAAGACCAAGTAGTTAACTATTTTATGAAGTGTAAAAGAATAAAATTAATTGCTTATTATGTTTCTATTATACTTTCTAATTTTCACTATACTCAAAACATTAACAAAAGGCTTAACTGGAACTTTCCTACAGAAGTCTTCTTTTTTATGACCTAACCTAAGAGCAAATGCTTCCATTTCTCTATTATTTTTTACTGACTATTTGGTCTTTATTATTACTAGTTTTTTGAATAATACTGAGTATTTGGAGGGGAGACAAATTTTGTATTTAGTCGCCTAATTTGCATAGCTAACCTATTATTAGTGTCTCAGTTTTAGAAATGAAGAAACTTAGGCATAGACATGTTGAGTAACAAGGTCACACAGCTAGTGTGTGCTGGAGCTGAGATCCCAATTGGAGAAATTTGGCTCCAGACATTGTATTAGTAGCCAATGCATGATACTGCCACCACTGAAATATTTGCCAATAGGACTATGATGGATACAGGGAATTCTATCTCAAACATCTATAGTATCTTTAATTACAAGGTCATCTTTTAATACTATATTTCTACACACTGAGACTTCTTGCCAAGAATAACTAGCTGTGTGACCTTGCACTAATTATTTAGTTCTTTTTTTTTTAAATCTTTTTTTTAATTTTATTTATTTTTGATAGTCACATACACACAGAGAGAGAGAGAGGCAGAGACACAGGCAGAGGGAGAAGCAGGCTCCATGCACCGGGAGCCCGACGTGGGATTCGATCCCAGGTCTCCAGGATCGCGCCCTGGGCCAAAGGCAGGTGCCAAACCGCTGCGCCACCCAGGGATCCCTATTTAGTTCTTTTTACTTCCATTTCTTCAATCAGAAATGGTTCTGACAGTAGTCATTTATCTCATAAAGTTGTTGTAAGAATTGTATGAGACAGATCACATAAAATACTTGTAACTTTGCTTATCATATAGTTAGTGCTCAATCAAGGTCAGTTAGCAAGTCAGTAGTAGTCATAGTAGTAGTAGCAGCAGCAGTCATACCTCAGAGAAAATTTAGATTTGGATATTAGGGGCACCTGGGTGGCTCAGTGGTTGAGCATCTGCTTATGGGTCAGGTTGTGATCCCAGGGTCCTGGGATCAAGCCCCACATCAGACTTCCCACAGGGATCCTGCTTCTCCCTCTGCCTATGTCTCTGCCTCTCTCTCTGTGTCTCTCACGAAAAAATAAATAAAATTTTTAAAAAAGATTTGATAAGAGAGAGGATTGAATTTGAGTTTTGGATTTATCACATGTATATTTCAATTACCTCTATAGCCTTGCTGGTATAATGTTTCCTGTTTTGATGATTATTATATCTATATTATATCTATGATATTTCTACAAAACCAATATAAAACCCTATTTTACATAAGCAAACAAATATGTATAAAATAACATTTTGTGTGTTTTAATATAACATTGCACATATATACATATAATAATTCTACAAAATATGTATGCATATACTTATATATTTTTATATGTATGTGTATGTATGGGTATGTGTATAATACACACAGATTCATGCATTAAAGAGGAGAAAAAGATAGGGAGAAAACATTGAAAAACTGCTTGGTCTCCCTTACCTCCTCACTGGAAACTGAGGCATCCAATTTATATGCATAGAAAGTAGAAGTACAAACATGTTGGTCAGATGAATGATTAATTATACAAGGGTAAAATAGGAAACAACCAAAATACTCTGTAATAGAGGCTTGTTAAATCAACAATAATGAAAAAAAAATAAAAAAAAATAAATCAACAATAATGCACCAGTATGAGTGAAAACTGTTCAACCACTAAAATCAGGCTTTGGAGGAATATTTAATTACACCAAAAATCTTTATATAGCAGGTTTTTAAGTGAAGAAATCAGGCACCAGGGCAGACTGTGTATCAAAATCCTAAGATGATATGAAAAAAATCCCAAGGTAGTATAAAAAAAGTCCCAAGATAGTATACACCTGTAAAAATAGATATGAATAAATGCATACAATAGGGAGGACTCAGAATTAACAGTGTTTATTTCTGCAAGGTCATTACTAGCAATCTTTATTCGCTATGTGTCCACTTGTGTTTGTGTGATTTATATAATATTTACATCAACATGAATTATGTGTTAAATAATAATACTAAAAATGATACTTTCATCAATGATATTCAATAAAGTAAAAAAAAAAATGACTCAGTGTTTCGGAGAAAATCTCCTATTTACCTTCCTCTCCTCTCCAGTTTGTTCTACCCAGAAAACCCTCAGATACATGTGCAGCTTTGTCATTGCTGCCACTTGCTTGTCCTTTTCTGTCTGTCCAACCACATATTTCTACTGAAGGTTCTGTCTATGCTGGCTTTCCAAAGTAGCTTCTCCCATCTCAGGTCAGTCTTGATATTTGGCCTTCTACTTGCTGATATGTCCTTTCCAAAACCAGTGTTTAATTTTTCTATCAATCCAAGGTGATTCCCATTCCAAGAGGCCTGCTCATGCCCCTCTTCATGTTACTTTTCCTCTTCAGGAAAGTAACAACATAGAATAAAATCTGGCATGCCTTCAGTTGCTGGCCGGGAGGAGATTTCTGTTTCCTTGGCCTCCCTTTGGCTGCTGAAACGCATTTTGGTCCCTTCTGGATTGATTGTGGCCTCTTCTCATTCACATGCTGACATGTCCTCTCTCCTGATCTAGGCCAGAGGCGTAGATTTCTTTAGTCATCAACTATGATCTTCCTACCAACAGGGAAAACTCTATCCACAGAATAGGTTGTGGTGGATGGTTTGGCCCTACAGGTGTGGCTATTAATATGGAGACATTGAGTCCTCCTGCAACAGCTCCACAGAGGAGACACCCCTTCAATGTTGCTGACCTGCTACCTAGCCCTATTCAGGATTCAGTCTGGGGGGGTTGAAGAGGAGCAGGACAGAGGAAGGAAGGGAGCCAAGGGATGGATATCTTGTCATTTTTTTCTTTGAATAAATGCCAGTTTGATGCAAAGTAATAATACTTTTTCTGTCACATGTGTTTAAATGTACATAAGCTTCAAAGATATTCTTTTAGGAGATGACTACATCTCCTTTCCATTGTTTCTCTTGTTGGTGCTTCATAGAGTGCTTGAGACCAAGATGTTGTTCAGTGGACTAATGACTGGCCAGCCTGGGTTTCTTAATCTATCTAGACTCCTAGATCTAAATCTTTCACAGTATTGGAAATGTGTAACAAAGCAGTCATCCCTTCTCCCTACCCCACCCACCCCCCTGCAACCCCACCCATACTGCTTGAATTTAATGCTGCTATCAGGCAACAATGAATCTTTCACCTGGAGCAGAGAATGAGGATTCATGGACATTTGTAATCCAAAAATCAATGCTACCTTACAATATATCTACTTGTGATTGAGTCATTCTCTTTACTGGTTATTCTTAAAGTGTATTGGATGCCCATAAAGGAGAACAGGAATGGATTATGATGGAATCTGTAACCATTTTTATGTATATGTAACTTTTTCTTTTTTTAGCAATCATGTCAACTCCTGAAGTACAATAGCCACATAGAGGTGGTATAGAATATTTATAAGGTTTCTGCACCTAGAGACAAGAAACTTGCTATAAAACTTTGAGGGTGTTACACTATCTCTGATTTTTTATTTCTTTGTCTTTAAAGTGGAAATACAATGCATTATTTAAGTTATCTTTTTTTAAGGACTAAATGAAATAAAGTTTTAAAGTGTTTAACACAGGGATGCCTGGATGGCTCAGCAGTTGAGCTCTGCTTTCAGCTCAGAGCGTGATCCTGGAGTTCAGGGATTGAGTCTAGCATTGGGCTCCCTGAGGAGAACCTGCTTCTCCCTCTGCCTGTGTCTCTGTCTCTCTCTCTGTCTCTCATGAATAAATATTTTTTTTAAAATTAAAATAAAATAAAATAAAAATAAAAATGCTTACCACACACTACTTCTCAGCCTTTTGGCTAAGATCAAGTATCAAATGCTTACCACAGTGTCTGGCATACATAGTAAGGTATCATTGACAGCTAACTCTTGACTGCCAAAAAATACCCCCCCCCCCATATATCCATGTCTTAACCCTTGGAACTTTAAATGCTACCTTTATGAAAGAAGAGTGAATATTATTTTATAGGGCAAAAGATGTCATTACGTTCAGGATGTTGAGAGGGGACATTTACCCTTGATTATCTGGGTGGGCCTAACTGTAAACACATGGAACCTTATAAGGTAGAGGGAGCTTGGACACAGACACACAGAAAAAAAAAAAAAAAGACAGAAGAAGAGAAAGTGATATGAAGGTGGAGATGGAGATTGGACTGAGGAAGCCCAGAAGTCCCTGTAGCCACCAGAAGCTCAAGAGGCAAAGAACAGATTCTCCCCAGAACCTCCAGAGGGAACACAGTCCAGCTGACTGCTTCATTTCAGCTCAGTGGAATTGATTTTGATTTCTGACCTTCAGAGCTGTAAGAGAGGGGAGGGGAGGAAATCTGTTGTTTTAAGCCTCCAAGTGTGTGCAATTTGCTACAGTGGCAATAAGAAACTAAAACAGACTTTTTATAACTGCTATAATAAATTCCTAAAAGCAAAAATGTGTCTTTGGAATAGGGTACTGAAGAGTGGCAAGAAGAATTTGGGGAAGTATGGTAGCAAGTGTCTAGATTTCCTTGAGCAAACTGTTGGCAGAAATTTGACATTAAAGGAGATTCTGGTGGGAGCTCAGAAGGGGGTGAGGAGCATGGCAGAGAAATCTATAGTTTCAGAGGAAAAAATATATAGTCATAAATGAGATGCTGTCAGAAATATGAACACTAAAGGCACTGTTGGTGAGGGTTCAGAAGGAAATGAGGAACATGTTATTAGAAAATGATGGACAGAGTATCTTTGTTATACAGGAACAGAAATTTGGCTGAATTGTGTTCTAAAGTTGTTTCTAAAGTAGAACTTACAAGCAATGACTTGGATATTTAGCTGAGGAGATTTCCAAGCAAAATGTTAATGATGCAGACTGATTTCTTCTTACTGCTAGTGGTAAAAATCCAAGAGGAAGGAAACAAATTTAAGAAGGTATTGCTAAGCAGGAAGGAACCAGAATTAAATAATTTCAGAAATTCACAGTCCATCCAGATTGCCAAAAAAAAAAAAAAAAAAAAAAAAAAAAAACAAAAAAGCTAAGAGAGGAGCTTATTGTTAGAAAAGCATGTTTTTAAAGAATGTGAAGGATATGGCTGGACAACAGTTTGATAAAAGGACTTTGGGTGTATGACTCATGGGTGCATTCATGCAAGTCAGCAGAAGTTAGGAATAGAGATCGGGTTATCTGGGAAAGATCAGTGAGGGCACTCTGCCTAATGGTGTGACAACCCATGACAAACATGGAAGACCCACAAGGTTTTTGAGAATTTTATAGGAGCAGAAACAGAAACACTGCCAGACTGGAAAGAAAGGGGCAGAGATGATACAAAATGCAGGAAGACTGTTAAGAATTCTAGGGTTCTACAGACAGGAGGCAGTGATAGAGTTCTTAGCTTCAAATATGTGCTACCCTTCTATAAGAAAGAGGGATGAGGGCAGCCCGGGTGGCTCAGCAGTTTAGCGCCTGCCTTTGGCCCAGGGCGTGATCTTGGAGACCCGGGATCGAGTCCCATGTCAGGTTCCCTGTGTGGAGCCTGCTTCTCCCTCTGCCTGTGTCTCTGTCTCTCTGTCTCTCTCTGTGTGTTGTTTCTCATGAATAATAAATAAAAATCTTAAAAAAAGAGAGAGAGAAGAGAAGAAGGAGGGATCACTCTGAGGGCAAAGACCCCAATACCAATTGGGCGCAGAGGGCAGAGTTGCAGGCCTACAAGCAACATAAGATGACTATCAGGTCTTGAAACCAAATGAAATATGCTTGCTCTTGCTGGATTTTAAACTTGCGTGGGTTGAGTGAGCCCATTATTTCTTCCATCACCTCCATTTCAGAATGGGAATGCCTATAATTGTTATCTCATGCCCATTCCACAGTTGTATTTTGGAGGCAGGTAACATTTTTTTTTCCCCTATGTTTCACGGGTCCACAGAGAAAGAGGAATTTTCCTCAGGATGAATCATACCCAGAGTTTAAACTATGCCTGATTTAGATGATGAGACATGGAGTTTTTGGGCTGATGATGTTTAGATGACTTTGGACTTTGGTTGATGGTGTAATGGGTTGAAACTTTGGGGGATGTTGGGATGGGGAGCATATATTTTACTTGTAGAGGCCAGAGGGCAGACTCTGATTGGCTGGAAAATGCCCCCTCCCCCCAAAACAGTCATGATATGTCCTAATCCCCAGAACCTAAAGATTTCACTTTATGTGGCAAGACTGTGAATATTACCTCATTGGTTAATTAATTTATGTGATTATGCCAGGAATCTTGAGAAGAGGCACTTATCTTTTATTATCTGAGTGGACTTGAAATGCAATCACATGTATTCCTATGAAAGAAAGCAAGAGGGAGTTGGAGATAGACATACATAAGGGAAGATGCACGCAGAAGGAGAAGCTGTGTGAAGAACGAGACAAACTGGCATGATGTGACTATAAGCAAAGGAATGCCAAGGACTGGTAGCAGCTACCAGGAGCTAGGAAATAAGCATCAAACAGATTCCCCCCAAGAGCTTCTGGAGGGATTGTGGCCCTGCCAACACCTTGATTTCAGATTTCCGGCCTCCAGAATTGTGAGAGAGTAGGTTTGTGTTGTTTTAAGCCACCAGATTTGTGGTAATTTGTTATAGCAGCATAGTAACCACATAATAGCTGTTTTACTACTTTTCAGTCACCAAGGTAGAAAAGGCATTAGCCCAGAATAAGCATAAAGCCTTTTTGATAGTATCTTTATGTCCTTATGGTATAATTCATTTCTGAGGATATTGTGTATGTGCCATAAATGCTTTTTGATTTAAATGAGTGTCCTCAAAATGTACAAATAGATTTCATGGAACTTTCCAAAATAATCTCAAAGGCCGTATTTCAAAAGGTCACTCTTTTTCCAAACACTCTTGTAAACACTCATTTCAAGTAAACAACACTCCAAAAACAAGTTTTAAAACGCAATTTGACTGCCGCTCACCAGCAGCAAAGAAGTACTTTCCAGACCACATATTTACATGGTCAATACCCAAATTAAACATGAGATTTCCCTGAAGTCATTCTACGAATTTGTTAAAACGAAAGGCACTTTTACACTCCATTTCGGGGAAGGAGATCACCCAACCCCCAAAATACATCTCAGATTATTTAAGGCATGAAAAAATTCTTTGTTTCGCTTGGTTAGGCTTGATTCAGAATTACTGTAAACCTTTTGCACAGTCCCAGAATGTTGACTGAAGCTCTCTGCCTTCCACTAGAGGGGAGAAGAATGCCCTATCAATACCCACAAGGAATCTTTTTCTTGTTTTTAATCATCTCAAACACTGCTGAATAGTTTATCTCTCAGAGGAGCTGCTTTCTTTGTTCCAACTGTTATGAAGTGAAGGGGGGTGTGGAGGGAGGGGAGCAGTCTGCTCTCAGCCAGAAGCAAATGGCAGTTTTGCAAGATAACCAGGAGAGGTGAGACTTCTGCTTTCTTAGTTCTTTGTATAACTCGTGAAACAC